TTAAAGGCATGTGACATGTGAGAGGCAAAGGGGGAGATTTCCAAAATACATTTTCATGTAGAAGTATCTCTCCTAACACTATTCTAATATATAGAATACATGAAAATGACCTCCTCTGGATGGACAGGAGAGGTGGGGACCCTTGAGGCATATCTGTGGAATCTGTAGCCCCACTAGTTCAGAAACCATTGTTTAAGGGTAGCATTTCCAGCCTACTAGTGGCTGTTCATCATCTGGACATAGGGTGGAGGCCAGCAGATGTGTCACAGCAGAACAACAGAACCCATCCTCAGAAATTCCGAGGATGTTCTGAGAAACAATAAATCTGCCAATTTTGCAGATGTATAATTTCCATTTTCAAAAGAAATGAGTTTAAGAATTGACCTTGTTTTTATGGTCAGCTCATGTACTTGGCATGCTAACTAACCCTGCTTAGAATGGAACTCAATGGAAAGGTATAAAATCATTGACATGTTTGCAGCTCCGCATGGGATTTCTGCCAGCTGGAAATAGAGTTTACAGCTCATTTTATAGAGTGGTGAAGTCTTGGAGAAAATGAAGCATAAACAAATAACATGTCTCACTTAGAGAGGCTGCACAAAGACAAAGAGAGCCTATGCATTTATAACACAATTTCTAAGGGGATTTTCTCAAAGCCACCTTGAAGACTTTTATCCCTCTACTGTTCATTTTACATAATGACAACAAAAAACAAACAAACAAAAACTGAGGTATCTAACAACTGCTTCCTTCATTTAGTCAGTTAATCAGCTTCATAATGTAAGTTAAAAAGCATATATTTTGGAACCTGAGCTATCTGCTGTCTCTGACCACAGAACCAATTAACCAGAAAATTTTCAAATGCTGGCCATAAAGATTTCCTGTCATAGGAGTATAGTTGATCAGATTTCATGAAAACCTATCCAGCTTTTCTCCGATCTCCTGGAATGCCCATCCCTCATTTCCAGGCATTCAAACCCGATCCACCTTTAAATACCCAACCCAAATGGAATGCCTATTGATAGTGTGAAAGGGAGATTATTACATCATACCTTATTGTGTTTATTTGCAAACCACCTTTCTTATTTTTTTCTACCTAAACTGTTGGCTCCTTGAGAATGGAATTAATATCTGATTTTTTTAAAACTCCCCTCTGAAAAGTAGCCATATGGTTATGCATTCTGAATTAGCCCTAAAAATTTCTGCAACTCCTCATGCCTCATATAATGCTTTCTAAAAATTTTAAATCTCTTTCACAAATTTTTAAAGCTAATAGATGTTTTCCTGTCTTTATATAGTATCTCTTTCTACTAAGAATTAGAAGAAATTATATATAATTTCTCTATATACAACTATAAAATAGAGCATAATTCTAAGTAACAAAACTGAGTAAAGTAAGAATCTAAATATACTAAGAATAAGGGTCCACCTACTTTATGTATAATATTAGCCCCATTTTATAGGTGATGAAATGGATTCAAGGTCCCTCAGCTAGTAGTTGACAGTATCAGGATAACTTAAAACTTTCTGTAGGTTCCACAATGTTTGGTTCCACAAAAATACATAGTTTTGCTAATGCTAAACGACATATCTCCACCCTGCCGGTTAGAGTTCTAAAAACAGAAGGCATTCCAGGAGGAGTTTTAAGAGAATCAGGATTTTGCTTTGTCCTGCCTTTCATTCACCATCACATTCAAAACCAAACTGTGGGGTGTTTGTAGGGCCCCATCCTGTGTTGTCCATAGTGAAGAGTCATACAATAAGATAAACATTTCAAGGGGTTGCCTAGGAAGTTAGGTGATAAAAGTTTACATTAAGAAACTAAAGAAATGAAGAAGTCTTTCTTCCTGTCTTCTTTTCTCTCTCTTTTTCCTCCCTTATTAACCTATCTTTCTCTCTTCTTTCCCTACTTCTTTCTTCTATATCCACTTGCCTGCCCACTTCCTTCTAAGCTAATTACCTGATTGCCTATCTTCTAGATATTTCCTCATAGAAAACAGCAAATAAGACTTAATTTGTCTAACAAATGTTGAAATTAAAGTAAGATTAAAAGTAAAGGGAAATGGAATTAAAATAGAAGTCACAAATATTAATATATAGAAGACGTTTTTCCTCTTTATTCTTTGTTTCCTAATCTTTAAAGAAAGTTATTGCATCTTTCTTGTTTATCTTGTTCCCTTTGGTATTAATTAATTTGCCACAACAATGTTAAATGAGGTTACATCTGTAAACCACTAGTTATAACCCTGGTGCTTTAGTAGGCATTCAAAATTATTTTTTGCTTTTCTCTTCTACTTTTAGTTCTGGTTTTAAGTATCACTGTTCAAGAAATCATGTCTCTGGTTGCTTTAGATCAGTGGGTCCCAATTGTGGGCACATTTGAAAACATATGTGCCTTGACTCGACTCCAAACTTATGAAATTACAACTTCTAAGAGTAGAGAATGAGCAGAAACATAAAACAAAACATAGTGAAACAAAACACACAAAAAATAACAAGCACACAAACCTTTTGGTTAAGAACACTGTCTTATTCAGTCAGAAAGGCCTCCATTCCCCTACTGCCACCAACTAGACTGTCATCTCCACGGAGTCAGGGACTTTGCCTCTCTTTTTCATCACTATCTAGTTCCTAGAATAAGGTTTAGTACAGACAGATGGGCACTCCATCAAGAGTTATTGAAGGCTGAGTTGGGCAGCAATCTACTTGCCTCGGAGCTGAATTACTTGTAAGTTACATTTGGGCTATTCTATTCCTCAGGTGTCTGACATGAAATCAGATATTCTGGACTCGACTCGGTCTTTAAAATTATTTGTTTGTTTGTTTATTTATTTATTTATTTATTTCAGTTACCATTGTCAATATTATTTTATATTAGCTTCAGTTATATAGCATAGTGGTTAGACATTTATATCATTTATGGCGTGATCCCCCCAATTAGTCTAGTACCCACCTGGCACTATACATAGTTGTTGCAACATTATTGACTATATTCCCAAAGCTGTACTTTACACCCCTGTGACTATTTCGTAACTCCCAATTTGTACTTCTTAATCCCTTTACTGTTTTCATCCAGCTTCCCAAAAATATGTTAGTGTTTTGCTTTTTATTGAATTAGTGTATTTCTGTAGAGGCCCTACACAGGCAGTGTTACATAGAGGAAAACAGTTCTTTTCCCTTAAGCCCATGTCAGTCAAAAGAGAAATCTGGGTAGAAAACTTACGTTTTGTCCAAGAAATCCATGAGTGGTCTTAATACAATCTCTGCATCCATTGCTGCACTGTTCTTATTAGACGCAGTGTTTCCATTTGTTCTCATTTGATTTAGTTCAAACCCCATCTGTTTTATACACTCTTCAATGATAAGGTGGAAACTAAAAATAAGGAATACAAACACCGGAATAAAAGCAAGCATTTATGCCTTCCTTTGCTTGTGTCTTTTTAATTCAACCCCAAGGAGACTGGATCTGCTTCAAACGGTGTGAAATCCCTTGCTCATTGGTCTGCAAACTTATTGTTCAGCTTGAAAAGTTTTTATTGCAATGAAAGCTTAGTTGGACCCACATATGTAATGTAGATAAAAGTAATGGTCTTCCAGTTGAATTACTTTGGGTGAGGGTTCATTTCGGCCCCATCTATCACAGTAATAGCTGAGATGTTCCTCTGAGAATTGTTTGAGAAAATGGCTGTTTTGAAAGATATTTGGCATCTGGGTACACCTTCTGCATTTGGCTTCTGGGACTCCACATTGTCTTAATTTTCCTCTCACCTTCCTGGCTGCTCCTTCTCAATTATTTGACCTCTAACCATTGGAGTAGCGTTGCCAGACTTAGCAAATAAAAACGCCGGATGCCCAGGTAATTTGAATTTCAGACAGTGAGTGTTTTTTAGTATAAGTGTGCCCCAAGCAATATTGGGGACATATTTACACTAAAATAATCCATTGTTTATCTTAAATTCTAATTTAATTGAGCACATTTTATATTTTATCTGGCAACCCTACATTGTAATCTAGGCTCAATCCTTAGACCACTCCATTTCTCGATCAAAAATCACTTTCTTGGTGATCTTATCTAGCCTCATGGCTTTCATACCATCAGTGTACTGGTGATTTCCAAATATACATCTGTAGACATGACTTCTAATGTAAATTCCAGGCTATTTTATTAAACTATCTATGTAACCTTAGAAGTCTTAAGTTTCTCTTATATCCAACATCCAATCCATCAGCAAATCTTCATAAAGTACCATAAATTTGAGAATCTATTATTATTTCCACAGAGCTACTATAGACCAACCCACCATTGTCTTTCATTGCTAACTTATGTAATATTACTTATGTAATAATTTCCTAAATTGTCCCTCTGTTCAACCCTCTATAGATATCCTGTTAAAATAGAAACCAGATCATGTTCCTCTCTTACTAAAAATCTTCTATGGCTTCCAGATCCACTTAGAACAAAACCTGTAATAAAATGTACTTTACGGACTTAAAGCCAAACATAATCTGGAAACCTCCCTGATCTCATATGTTGAGACTTTTCTCTTGGCTTCACTGCAGTCCAGCTACTATAGCCTTCCTCATGTCCGTAGAATTCTCTGAGGACAACTGTATCGCATGGCCACTATTATGTTCCCTCCCCCATGGAATTTCTCATGGGTTTCTTGGTCTCTCACTTATTTTGGGCACATGTCACATATCATGTCCTTAAAGCGGTTTTCTTGTTTTCTTTTTTTTTTTTAAGGGTCTCTAACACACTTTATTAAGAATGAGGTACCTTGCAGAAGGTATTTGCATGAGGATAAGATATCACACTTCTCTCATTTCTCTGACTCTTCTGGACACAAAAGCGGTTTTCTTGAACACTTAATATGAAATGACATTTCTATCATTTTCCATTCCCTTAAATTTTTTTCATTGATTACACTATTATTTGACACATTGCATAGTTTTCATTTAGTTGTTTATTGCCTGTTGCTCCAACTAGGATGTAAGCCCCATGAGGGCAGGAGCTTTTTTTTTTTCAGTGCTACATGTCCACAAGAATGTCACATCTCAGACAAAGAAGTTGCTCAAGAAATAATATTGAATGTAGGCCAGCCAAGTGGCTCAGTTGGTTAAGTGCTCGCTCAAGAGTGCGAGCTCTGAGCAACAGTGGTTCGAATCCCAGCCCGAGCTGAGCTGCTACTGAGCTGCAAACAGGTGGCAGGATGGCTCAGCTAAAAAAAATAATTAAAAAAATAATAATAATATTGAATGTGTCAATGGACTCTCTTCCTTCCACCCACTCCTTTGCCTCACCACTCTAAGGATTTAAATAAGTCTATGAAGAGTGATTCTTAGCATAATTATTATTATTTTTTCATCCTTTATATCCCTACACTAGTTTTGGTGGTTCTTACCAAAGCAGCAGCAAATAATTTAAATAGAGATTTAAATAGTGGTTAGCATCACCACCATTTCTGTATACCATCTGTTACATTTTTATTTCCAACAACAGGATTAATTATAACACATGCACAGGCAGGCAAGAAAAAAAATATTTAGGAGAATGGGGATAAATGGAAAAATGAGAACTTCAGGAATGGTCATATCACTAGAATAGCAATGATTAGAAGGAAAGTGTTCATTTTAGTATTGCAATCAAGTCAGCCCCATTGCTCTTCTCCCTCCACACACAAAGGTTATAGAATTCATATTATTTGAGAAGTGTCCAAATGCACCAATTCCTAAAATTTTATATAGAAGTTTAGGAATTTTCACTATATAATGCTTCTATTATTAATTAAATAGAAAGAATATGCATATTTATTTACCAATGTATGCATGCATTCTACAAATATTTAATAAATTCTTATTATGTGCCAGTCTCAGTTACTAGGTGATGAAGATACAGCAATGAACAAGACATAAAATTTCTTGTTTTTTGTCACACATCCAAGACCTTTTATTTTAGAATTTATATTATGGAAATATTTCAGTTAGCCTATTGTCAAGTATTTCATTTTTCTAGTTTCTGGTGTTGCTACCTAAATGGGAAACCTTTGATGGATTTTAAATTATCTCAACTTGGGTAATTTTCTTGCCCTTAGCTCTTTTATAGCAGGTTTATAAATATTGGTACATAATTTCGAGCATATAGCCGAGGCTTGATTCTACTTCTACCATCAGGTTGGCCTGTTTCCATCTTTGGCTCCTGACTTCTCTTGGACTTCCTTTACTGCTGACAACATTCTTGTCCCTCTGGACTTGACATTTGTATTTGGTTCCTTGATCCTTGGATCTCAGCTGTGGATGTGATTCATTTCTTGGCTCTCTGAATATTTATCTAATTCAATGGAACATTCTATTTCATACTCAGATCCAAATGAATCCAAATACATGACCATTTGGCTTTTACCTGGCTGGACCTGCCTTTGGACTTTTGTCCGGTAGTAGTTGTGGGGGAGGGAGGTGAGGATGGTGGAGAAGGTGAGAAGGGTGGGGTGGTAGTGGTGGTGTATTTAGTGAGAGGAGAGGTGGTAGATATTTGGGGCAATAGAAAAGGAAGGTAAATAATGTTAGAAATTTTGAACTAGTTGATTTACCATTGGGTCATCAGTGATTCTGCTGAGCATAGTAATAATCACCTTTGAAGTAACTACTTTCTTTCACACTGATTCTCAAATCAGTGTATTGGGGTGGAGAATAGACTAAGCAGAAGGTATGACACTCACATTCCAAAAATGTGCAATTAGGTTCCTACAACAGATCCATACAGTAAACTCCCACCAAAAGGCAGCTGTGTGTGTGGGGTCAGGCACATGGAGGAAGGGTTATCAGTGTTTGAAAGAGAATTCTATCTTGGTGTTAGTCCAGAGTGAACCAACCAACACTTGCATTTTACCTGAAAAGCTTTTGTCTCTATCCATTTGACATAAAAAACCTTTTTATTCTATCCATTTTTTTGGTTGAAAATGTATTTTTTAGTCAGCTTGAATTATTATTACCAGTTAATAATGACAGACTCTGTGAGCACCCAAGAAGCCAAACACTCACAGAAGGATTCCTCTGAAATGTTCCTGAATTCTTTGTTTACTTAATCCAGCTAGCCCCTGGTACCAAATATATGATTAAAAGAAATACAGTAAGTTAAAAAACAAACAAATAAAACAAAACTTCAAAATACATGTGTAAGCAGAAACTAAGTGGTACAAGTTTTGAAAACTTTAAGAACGTCTTTAAGGACATTTTTACGATAGCACTGAAGTCTCTTAGTGATATCACTAAGTCTTAGGATATCACTTAGTCTCACTTCCCAGGTGGGTGCTCTGCGACCATGTCAGGACTCCAGGAACCTGGGCTCAGATGTGTGGTTTGGCTCTGCCCTGGCTTTACTGCAAAACCATCTTACTAACCACAGACAGTAGAATTATTTAACTGTGGGTTTTAATAACACCAGATGAAATGGAGTTTGGGCAATTAATTATGTACTAATTTTAAAGCTCTAGACTGCTAATTTAGACTCTAGGAAGAGTAGATTCAGACAAAAATTATCCAGTGTGACTTCACAGCATGACCGCACTGATCATTATGGACTCCCTCCCACCCTGTGGGAACGACATAGATCTGATTAGCAGTGTAGGAAATAAAACCATAGGCACAAGGACCTAAGAATTATTCTTTTTATAAGCATGACATGTGGGTTATTTATTCTAATAATCCTGGTGCTGATTAAATATATTTATTCTAATAATCCTGGTCCTGATTAAATAAAGTATTACATTTTTTCCCTATGTTTATAGAATAATGAAGAAATAGATATGAGGTAACCAGGAGTTTCAATATCTAGGTTAAAATAGCTGACTTCATATGAACAAAGTACGTCAAGTGTGTTCCTTATTTCATAACTGAAGTTTGCTCTGATTTTTTTCTGATCATAACATTTCACCCTTTGTAAGCTGAACATTCTTCCCCATAAACAAAATAAAACAGCACAAAATAAAAAGCACTTGTTCATAAAGATGATTTTTGTAATTTACAGAAAGTAATTTGAATACACTTTTTCTATTTAGATTCTAGCTTCCATTCTGCTGAGTCATCTTATTTCCCATAAAGTTACAAACACCTCGAGCTATTCGTGAACCCTTACTCCTCCCTCTAACTTTGCTATTTAATCTCTGCTTTTGCCTTCCTCGCCGAAGGCCACACAGTCTTTTTCGGCTAACCACAATTTAACTCACAATTGAAATAAAGAAAGGTAAGCCTAAAATAGCTGATTGCATGCACCATTGCTAAATGTCACCCCAAGTCAGACCCAATAAGCCCCCAAATGTCTGGAACAATGTCTGCCTCTCCAAGTCCAGGTAAACAAAACGTTCAAATTGCTTATTAACATCTAGGCCAAGTAAGCAGAGTCATCCAGGTCAACTAACAACACAAAATAAACGGCAGTGTCACTACCCTAAGCTCAGTACAACAGGCTGCGGCTCCCTCAGCATGTGACCTGTGAAGGTGGGCTCCCAGAGAAAAGCAGCACACCTCTGATGCTGAAGAGGAGGCCCAGTGGCGGATTCTTCTTTACTTTGCCTCATGCCTGTATTTGAGAAAAAATATGGTGCTTTCGGTGCGTTTTTCATCTTAGTCTTTCTGATTTAAACATGGCATACCTGATCCATAAATGTTCATTAGGAGGTATCTTTCCAAAACACAATAATAAGCGGTGAGTGGAGGTCAAAGAGCTAGCTAGTCCTCACCAGAAGAGCAAGTTTTAGCTTCATCTGATCACTGGACACATAGTTTAAAATAGTAAGTCAACATTTATTGAGATAATATTTAAACCAAGTTCTGTTTGAAATTAATGAGCCTCTTTCAAGGTGTGTTTGCTTTCCTATCTATTTTAACATTTGATGATGAGATGATGGTCTTTGCCTGTAGGACCAAAATGAAATTTATATAGGATTAACTTTTCTCTCTTTAGAACAATACAACAGGCAAGCAAAGGTAATTTTAAAAAACAGAGAATATGTGAATGTGTCAATAGTTTCCCATGAAGTAATTGCATTAAGATCCCTAAGCCCTAAAACCTAGAATCCTGACCTAATTCGGTTATGGAGTTGGAATTTAGTCATTTGAAAGTGCAACCACCTTGATAGGTATGGCATGAATGCAACTCATACTTCTTATGTATGTAAAGATTTTCTCCCTTCCTTCCTCCCACCCTCTATTCTTAGCCAATGGCTAAGCTCTAAACACTAGAACTGCAAACAGGAATGAGACATGGTTTCTGCCATTAAGAAGCATGTAGTCAAGTGAGGGAAATAGTTAAGTAAATCAGAACTTGGAGACAGTGTTGTAAGTGCTATTCAGCCATTGGATACAGGGTTCAGTGGATTATATAGCAGGACATCACTGTATGATTACAAGTTCATGGAAACTTTCCAGAGGACATGATACTTACATTCAGTTTCAAAGTTAACACAGATTTAGCCAGTCAGAGGAGAGAAACAGCACGGGAGGCATGATTACTGTTAACGGAAACCTAAAGCATTTGGATAATCACTATTTAGGCCACTTACCTTTCACCGTAAGTGACGCTGAGCTCATCCAGAACCCCACTGAGTTTAACTTGAAGCTCTTTTAGAATAGTACTAGCTTCAGGATCTAGCTGCAGAGAGACCATAAACAATATTGCTTAGGAGTTCTGAGAAAAATTACCTTTCTTTTACAAACATTTTGCTTGTTATAAGGTAATGTCAAATAAAAAGAAAACACGTGTAATTTTTGACTTCCTCTCCTTTTTTTAATCCTTGAAATCAGATGCAAAATTTACAAAATTCTAAATAAACCAGAAGAGTTTTTATATATGAAAAAACTGATCGAAATGCATAGCATGCATACAAGTAAGAGCTAGACAGCAAAGCTTTTGTTGGTGACAGCAATGGGATGCCAGGCATAACAACACAAGCTTCATAACAGGGTCATTTCATAACCTAGAAAAAGTTGCACTACATTAGTTGAATATATGTGTTGCTTCAAAATACATTTCATCTTTAACATCTCTGTAAATAAATTTTAAAAATTGGTAAATATTAATTTTTGAGTATTGTATTGTACCTTCTTTGAAAGTGTTTTCATATTTTTCCAAGTAATGTAATATAATAAATGATTATAAAGCGCTCCAATGTGACAGGACTGACTTCTCTTCCTGGGTGTCAATTTGCAACTCAGAATTAAGATTCAAAGTATCTTTTTATTTATTTATTTATTTAAATTTCTCTTTAAATATCCAAGTATTAATAGCTTGGAGCTAAGCTATTGAGTAAATTTGGGGGCAAAAGGAAAAAATAATTAACTCAAGGTAACTTTTTTAATGCTTGTTCTTACAGTACAAACTTTAAAAGCCAACTTTTCTTTTTTATCTAATTTCAGTTCTTAAAGGAATGTTAATCAATATTGCAAAATAAGTTACATTATAAATAAATAAAAACATAAATAAACAAACACATCAATTTATTAACTTGGCAGAATATTTTTGTAATCAAAATTGAGGATCAACACAAACTTATCAGCATTTAGAAAAGTTTATCCTGTTTATTAATTATGCTTTTGCAAATAAGTTGTTAAAATAGAGTGATTTATAATAGAGGTAGTGTATCAAGCTGATAGAAACTCATGTACATGGAAATCTAGAATATTTTCTGAAATTTAAGCCAATCTTTTTTTGAGTCTTTAGAAATTCACTTTCCTACCATTAGTACCTATAGTTCTTGCACAAGCTAGTCTACTAGTGCAAAGAAGAGAATGTAATAAAGCCAGCTTTGGGGAGTAGAACAAATTAAAGGAGGGCTTAGTATACAATGGAACCTAATAAGGACAGCAAATGCATATAAGACCCAATATCATTTTAAACTCCTAGGAGCCAGCCAGGGACCAAAAAATAGTATACACTGATCCTGTAATTCTCCAAGAACATTTATCATTATTAAGAAATTGTTAGAGAGAAGTATTATCTATACACCTCAGCTGCTGGGTAGATTTAGATTGTATTGATGTGACTGAAACCATCGGATTAGAAATAAAAATTATATTTGGCATCTGATACATTATTGGTTATAGCAAACCAATTCCTGATGTTAATTACGATTTAAATCCAGGTGACTGCAGAAGTGCTTCGTTTCTGCCCCTCTATCAGAGCCAATGTGATTCTTCTGGACTCTTTGTATCTTTTTTCTGTCTCTATCATCAGATAGGCTCACAGCTCTTACTTACAAACACACAGGCCATCATGACTGATATAGACTTCTCTAGGAGTCAGAAAATTAGAATAGCCTTCAGTCTCACACTTTCTGAGAGCTCCATTCAGCTACAACTAGTTGCAAGGCAGTGATTCAGAAAGAAAATTAGATAATACCTATTTAAAAAGACCTCACACTGATATACATTTAAGCATATTTAGCCTACTAAACCATAACTCTCCAACCTTTAACCAAGAAAACATATGTGGATTGTCTACCTCAATTATAGGTAACCATATAAACTGAAATATTTTATTATATGAGGTGTAACAATTAAGTTCACAAACTTGTTGCAATGATGTTGCTAACCTTTTTTGATATCAGAGGAATTATTCATTATGAATTTGTACCAAGTGGACAGTTAATCAAGTTTACTATTTGGAAGTGCTGAAAAGGCTGTGTGAAAAAGTTAGAAGACCTGAACTTTTCGCCAACAATTCATGGCTCTTGCATCACGATGATGCACCAGCTCACACGACACTGTCTGTGAGGGAGTTTTTAGCCAGTAAACAAATAACTGTATTGGAACACCCTCCCTACTCACCTGATCTGGCCCCCAATGACTTCTTTCTTTACCCAAAGATAAAGAAAATATTGAAAGGAAGATATTCGGATGACAGTCAGGACAACAAGGGTAATACAACACCTCTGATGGCCATTCCAGACAAAGAGTCCCAAAATGGCTTTGAAGGGTGGACTAGGCACTGGCATCAGTGCCTAGCTTCCCAAGGGGAGTACACTGAAGGTGACTGTAGTGATGATATTCAGCAATGAGGTACGTAGCACTTTTTCTAGGATGAGTTTGTGAACTTAATAGTCCGACCTTGGATGTTATTGCTATTATCCTAAAACCAATTCTAACCTGATTTCATTTGGATAAAAATGCTGGGGAATAGGGAATGAGAGAAGCCCATCCATATGATTTTCTTCAGACTCCCTACACCTTGGCAAAACATAGAGGGTGGTATGTTATATAATAATCCTCCACCTACATATCTGCTACCTCCAAGAAAATGGCTCAGACTGTAGGGTTCTCTTCAGGAAATGGGGTTGCTTCTTATTTAAAACCTGTATTTTGTTTTCATATTTGTTTAATATATGCATTGAGGTAGTTTGTTTATCTGTTAAGATAATGCCCTTAAAATCATACAAAAATGACTAGATAAGTCAGTTGAATAAAATTGTGTTAGTTTTCCATAAATTATTTTATTCCACCTTAGGTATTCTGAGAATGGATTTTTCTTATCAAATAATTGGCTGTTACTTGAAAATCTGAAACTGTCAAGCTATAGCAATTTAAATATTGGTTGACAATTTTCATTTCTTAATAGAAGCACGAGTTTCTAAGTGGTTACAAATAGAATGCTTGTAACCAAGTCAAAAGAAAAAGAAAAGAAACAGAAAATTTTTAGTTTCAGTTAAGTATTTGAGTATATCTGATCCAAATCATAATGTTAAACCATTAAAACTGGAACAGTAATTTAGAGGTCAATATTCAAATTGCAGGTTTTTGCAATAATGATGGGCATAAATATCACACTTATCTAATTACCAAACAATCTCTTCAGGCAGGAATTTTACCAATTGTTGAGTTCTGCATTTCTTTATATGACCAAATTGAGGACAGTTTCCTTACTCCTACAAACTCCCTAAAGTTTTTTAAGAAATAATAATTTGAGCTTTGAGGGTTCATTGCCTAAATTACCAAAAGCATATATTACAAACTATTGGCTAATTTGGAAAGGTAAAATTTTTTTTAAGGTTTAAATCTTAGCCTAGTTCTAAAAGTAATGTGATATCAAACATCAAAATTAGCTTACACCTTTTTGGTTTCATTATTGAGTTATTAAAAGCCACAAAAAAGAAAAAAATTCAAGCATTCATAAATCACAGTTAATAAATATATCCTAAATTAGACAGTGAAATAACATGTGTACCTGAACAACTTAGTTGGCTGACAAAAAATAAACAATAAACAGCTCCATGTAAAGAGGAATATGCTCAATGAAAATTTAAGAATATTGAATCAAATTCTGAATTTATGGTAAAGCTTTCAAAACAGATTTTATCCATGCTCTAGGCAAGGTGTGGGAATTACAAAATCTAGGCCAGTAAAGCATGGTTCTAATGATCAGAATGAACCTTAGTCATATATAGGCAGTAACTGACTTTTTATACCATTGAGATATTTTACACCATTGAACTGTGGTATTATAAATGACTTAACTGGAAGACATAGCAGGCAAGGTATTTTATAAGTTATTTTCCTTAAGGCTTACTTCTTTCCTTTTAAAAGACAATTGACTTATCACCTCCTTTTGCAAATCTTCCCCAAAATGTTGCCCCTCCCAAGGCAGTTAGTAGCTTTACCTTCTGCACTAACTATGCTTTTTACAATAACTGTGTACACAGCCTGTCTTTTAATTATTCTCTTATAAATCTGTATCTTCCATGGTGGAACTCTGTCTTAGCTTTCTGTCGAGGCGTCTGCCCCAGTGCACTGTATGCCTATGCATGTACCATATATTTGAGGAAGGAGATAAGGGCAGAAGGAAACATGAACAGGTTTCCTCAAAGAAGATCCTGCTACGCAGAGTGCTCCTCCTTGGAATGAAACTTTGCATTGACTTTTTTTTTTCCTTCTTAAACATTAATATCCTTTATTTTTTTATTTTTATTGTTTTTATTGTTAGTTTCAGGTGTACAGAACAATGCAATAGTTATCTTTTTCACCCTTTGCACAGAAACAACCCCCCTCCCCCACCTGGGGAATATAATCAATAATGTTGTAAATATTTTTTAGGGGGCCAGATGGACGCATGCATTGACTCTTAGTACAATACTTTTGCATTTGAAATCTTTCATTCCTTAGCAACCATATGTTTTGTCTGGAGTTACAGCTTAGCCCTGATGTCAAATATTTGTCTCATTGCCAGACCATGTCAGGTTATCTCCTGATATTTGTTTGGTTCCAAAAATATGGTTACCATACCCACACTGCATGCTTGTTTTCTAACACAAAGTCTTTTCCTAGGGAACCTAAAGGGGAGTACATGTGATTCCAGCAGTCTCTTACAACACAAACTGTTAAGCAAACCAACCGACAGTATCTTGCTAGATATAACTAGTGGGTTGGAAAGTGGCATTTAAACTATTTTGATAACTCAATTCAAACTCTTCAAACAACGAAGACTTTGTAAGGAAGACGTTAAGGATCTTTATTCCTTTTCCATAGTGTTCATTACTATTTCTTTTCCTTTCTCTTTTCTACATGCTACCAGGCTGCCTTCCCTCATGTTCGGCTCATCAGTGTCAGGGTTCCATTATTTGTTCATCTAAAGTGCAGATCAGGGAGGACAATCACCCCCTG